CCTTCTCCCCCCTCTCTTTCACCTCACCACCCACCCTCCTCCCGCCTCCTCCTCCCTCCTCCTCCTCACTCCTCCTCCTCCTCCTCCTCCTCCTCTTCCTCCTCTCCTTCTTCCTTCTCCATCCTACACCTCCTCCTCCTCCTCCTCCTCCTCCTCCTCCTCCTCCTCCTCCTCCTCCTCCTCCTCCTCCTCCTCCTCCCCCTTCCTTTCTGTGCAAGAGCCGTGGCACACGTGCCACTTGTCTGTGCTCATCGATTGCTCCTCGAAGGCCACTCCTGGAGGCCGCCGCAGGCCGCCGATCCTCTGCGGCCTGTGGCCACACTCGGGTGCCTCCAGGGGCCGCCGGCAGCCTTCGGGCGACCCTCGGGGCCCTCCGCAGCCTTCGGGCGGCCGGCCGCCTTCGGCGGCATGGGCTGCGGCGCGCTCTGCTCGACTAGACGTAAGAGTGACCTTTCGCCGGAGTGACCTTTGGTGCGGGCCAAATGGGGTCCCCCGATCGTCGAACGCGAGGCGGCAGTGGCGTCTTGCGCGCTTGTGTTTGGCCCCCTCGCGGCCCCCCAAAAGCCGCGCACCAAAGGTCACTCTTATCCAGGGTCACTCTTGCGTGTAGCCGATCTGCTTCTGCCTCGCCTCCCCCCCTCCCCAGAGGTCCGAGGGCAGGATGTTCCTCAAGCCCGCATCTGTTCCTCTGGAGGTCGGCCTCCGGGGCTCTTTTCCATGCCCGGGGAGCCTCCAGAATGGATCCGGGGCGAAAAACCGCCCCCGGGGGAAGGGGTCGAGACCTCTGGGGCCGCGGATCGAAACGATCATGTCGGCCCCTCCTCCTCCTCCGCCTCGTCCCTCTCTTGCCTCCTTCATCCCTCCCTCCCTCCCTCCTGCCCCCTCCTCCCCCCTCCGCCCTCCCCCCCGCGCGCGTGGGGGTGAGAGCGACGACGCCGACGCCGCGGCTGGCGGAGTCAGTCGCCGTCGTATGTCGTTGGAGTCGTCGTCGTTGTCGTCGTCTGGTGGTGGAGGAGACGGGGGTCCGAAGTCGGTTTGTTCAGCCATCGAGTTCATATAGCCTTGGGCTTCGGCAGCAGTTAATCCAGTTAACCAATAAATCGCACTCCCTCCCCTGGATGCCTCCGAATGTCCCCCGAGGTCCTCAGAGGTCCCTGGAGGCGGAACTCCCCCCTTCCCCGCCCCGTGCGGGCGCAGCTGGCGGCATCGGTCCCGCCGCCGCCGCCGCTGTCGCTGTCGTCGTCGTCGTCGTCGCCGTCGTCGTCGCCGTCGTTGTCGTTGTCGTCGACGTCGTCATCGTTGTCGCCGACGACGTCGTCTTCGTCGTCTCGTCGTCGCCGTCCGTGTCCTCGTCCTCGTTCTCGTCTTGCTTATCCTCGTCGTCCTCGTCGCCGTCGTCCTCCTCCTCCTCGTCGTCCTCGCCCTCGCCCTTGCCCTAGTCGTCGTCGTCGTCGTCGGCGTCGCCCTCGTTCGCGCCGTCGTTGCCGTCCTTCTCGTCGCCGCAGCCGTCGTTTGTCCCAGGCTCTCCTCGTCGTCGCCATCCTCGGAGGGGGAGGGGAGGAGGAGAAGGAGGAGGAGGAGGAGGAGGAGGAGGAGGAGGGGGGATGAGGAGGAGGAGGAGGGGGGATGATGATGAGGAGGAGGAGGAGGAGGAGGAGGTCCTCCTCCTCAGCCTTCCACCGCCGTCTCGCAGTCGGCGCGTCGACGCGAGCGGGGCAGCCCCGGGGGGCAGGAGCTCGAGCCTGCGGCGGCTGCCGCTGTCGCGGCGCCTGGGGCTGCTGGAGCTGGCGGGGCGCGGCCGGCACCGGGCGACGCACACCTATGCTACGGACGTGCGTCGGCGGCGAGCGAGGGGCGGAGTTGAGGAGGAGAAGGCCTTCTCAGAGGGCGGCGGGACTTCTCAGAAGCCCTCGCGCCTTCTGAGAAGTTTTGTTTCTGTCTTCGGGGAAGGCTTAGAAAACTTCTCAGAAGTCCAGGGGACTTCCGAGCCTTCTGAGAAGGTACGCCCCTTCTCACTTCCCCCCCTGGCTCGCCGCCTAGTGAATGCCGAGGGTGATCGCGGGCTCGGTCGGTTCGGCTGCGTCGCAGCCGATTGTGTTTTCGGTCCGGTTCGGTCCGCTCGCTCACGCTGTCGCTGCCGCGTATCGCTGCCTTGGCATCGCTCGGACGTGTGCGCGTTTTTTCCTCGGCGAGGGCCATCGCGGAGCATTCTTGAGCACTTGGCGAAAAAAACACGCACGAAACCGACAAAAAACACAGGGAATGGACGCCCGAGCGATGGCCAGCTGCGCCCTCCTGGGCGGCCCGCGGCTTGCCGACTTCGGCTTCGGCTCTTCGGTCTCGCCGGCGGCTCGCTTGGCTCCCAGCTCTCTGCTGCCGCCGCGCACGGCCTCGGAAACGCGAGCGCCGACCTCCGCCGACCTCCTCCTCCTCCTCCTCCTCCTCCTCCTCCTCCTCCTCCTCCTCCTCCTCCTCCTCCTCCTCCTCCTCCTCCTCCTCCTGGTGGACGCAGTTGCACACGCTGCTGCACGGTATCCACCACCATCGGCAGAAGCAGAATGGAGCCAGCCAGGTTCGGAAGTATATCCAGTCTTGTCGCCGTCACTTGGATGTTCGACCTGACCAAGTGCAGAGAGTTCTGTTGGAAACCAAAGATCGCCCCTGGGATGACTGGCTCCATTTCTTGCACAATATCGGTTCGGTGGATGATCGTGAGTTGGCGTATTTTGAGCTTGCGGCAAAGAAGGTTAGCGCTCGCAGTCAACGACGGGCGATTCAGGAATCTTTGTCGGAGTTCAAGGACTTTGTGGAGGACAAGGAGTCGTTGGGACGTCTGCATAAGTCTCTTAACCCACTCCCTCAGCCGGCTGACGAGATGGAGCACGAGGGAGTGACCTTCTATCATCCGAAGGACCTCATCGATGCTAAGGCTCGGCACTGGCATCGGCTCCGGGCTCCAACTACATTGGTGGAGGATGAGGTCTTTGAGGCTTTCGCCGAGGTGCAAGCGGCGGCGGAGGACGACCCGCTGCCCAGCATCACAGTGGAGGAAATCCGACGAGCTCTTCGGAAGATGCGTCCAGGTACGGGCAGGGGCGTGGACTTCGTCACGCCGCTCGACTTGGAGCGATTGCCTGACTGCGCGCTGGCGGAGCTTGCACTGATCTTCGAAGCGTGCGAGCAGTGCCTCTGCTGGCCTGCTCAGCTGCTGCTCATCTTGGGGAGGATGCTCCCCAAGAAATCTACAGGCGATCGGATTATTGGTCTGGTCCCCCTCTGGGATGCAGCAGTAGCGGGCAATTCAAGCCTCCGCGAGGCGTATCTTCGAGCTGTGCAGGAAGAAGTATGTTGTAAACTTAAAGTGGAAGTTGGGCATGGGCTCTGCGATATGTTATCCTTCTATGATTCAATAGAATGGCCTTGTCTTGTCAAATGCGCCCTTCGGATGCAGCTCCCGCCCAGGATTTTATGTTTTGAATTGTTGCAATGTGTCTCGGCCAGGGTTTTGAGTCAACTTGGCGCCTCGTCGGCGCCCTTTCAGCCGACGAGGAGTATTGTGCAGGGCCTTCGGTCTGGAACGAGGTTTGGTCGAACCATGACGCACTTCGTCCTGCGCGGGGTGGTCATTGCTCATCCCCAGGCCAGTCACAGGATATGGATTGATGATCTCTCCCAACAAGTTCGCGGCTCCCGTGCAGCGGTGCGCACTCAGTTGCGAGATTGTATACTTGACGCGTGCTCCGCTCTTGCTCGCAACCAGCTGAAGGTATCACCGAAATCAGTGGTGGTGTGCACGCATCTGGCTGACGCACGATGGGTTTGCAAGGCAGTGCTGAGGCGGGGTGGTGTTACGATCACTCCTCAAAGCCAAGCTGGCTTCTTGGGTGTCGATCTCTCTTGTGGCCGCCGATTAGCTCGGGCTACGCGACGGAAGCGCGACCAGAAGCACGCGCTGATGTCGGCCAAGATTGGGCGGCATGCGAAGGCAGCCAAGAGATATCGCGTGACATCACGGTTGGAAGTACAAGGAGCTCAAGCTGCAGGCAGTCATGGGTTTCAGATATATGGCACGTTTGGGCAGCGGCTTCAGCAGGCGCGGCGTCGGGCAGGATATGCTTGTGGGGCGGCCACTCGTGGCCGTTGCCTCACCTCGCTGCTCGAGTTGCGCATGCCTGGCCAAGACCCTGGCGTCAAGTTTCCCAGTCAGTGTGTTTTGATGTGGCTTGAGAATTGGCGTGATCATCCTGATCTCCGCGCAGGCATTTGTCGGGTTTGGGCTGAGACTGCCAATGAGATGCTCGACACACCAGCTGCTCATCGGTCGAAGAAGGTTCGGGGGCCCATGACTGCAGTGATGCTCCATCTGCTGGAGGCCGGGTGGCAAATCGGAGAGGCGACGTCTTGGACCATTCCCGAACCCCATCCAGCAGCAGGTGATGACTGGAGATTTGATGATGCCATGTTCACTGGACGGAAAGCACTGGACAATTTTACAGATTTCATGCAAGACTTCAGGGATGTGTTGACACTGCGTCAGTGGCGGAGTGCAGCTAATCATTATTGTGGGGCTGGTCTTGAGAATGGAGTGGATTGCGCTTCGTATCGCACGCTGCTCAATCAACTGGAGGAGACACCTCAATATGGTCATCGCCTCGCAGCTGTTATGACGATGGTTGCGGTTGGAGCGTCATGGCCACGTGATCGGAAGTGCGTTGAGACTCCTCAGTTCCAGGGCTCGAGGCTCTGTCAGCGCTGCAAGGGGGCCCCAGAGACCATGCTCCACCGCGGGTGGACGTGCCCCGCCAACGTCGGCAATGAAGCGCACAGTCGGTCAGATGAGATGTTGGCGCAGGCATCGGCGCAGTCGGAAATGGATTCAGGATTTTGGTTGAGAGGAATGCTCCCACAGTCATGGACAGATGTGCCCCCGCCAGCTGCGCTAAAAGACTGGTCAGTTGCAGGTGCTAATGAGGTTTGTGATGTAGGATTTTTGGGAGAGGGTTCCCCCGAGGCCCCTCTTATTATTTTCGGGGATGCCTCTGGAGGCCCAGATACAGCTTCCCCGAAGTTCAGGCGGGCAGGGCTCGCGATAGTCCTCTTCGGCTCCTTGGAGCCCCAGGTCGACACTAGGGTCACCATCCACGGGCCTCTCGTAGGTTCGCGTCAGGCGGTCCCCAGGGGTGAACTCAGGGCCCTGGTGCTCGCGTGTTGGGCCACTAAGGGGGCTCTGCTGTATGTTTCAGACTGTGAGCCTGTAGTTAAAGGCTGGTGCAGTAGGAGGTGGCTCTCTCCACAGGGGGAGGACGGGGATCTCTGGGCGTCATTAGGTCAGCTGTTTGAGCTCCAAGGACGCGATCCCAACCTCATTATTGTTCTCTTTGTGCATTCGCATCAGGAAGAGGAAGCTGTTGCTCACAATCGTTCCAAGAGGTGGCTTATAACGGGAAACGCCGTTGCAGATGCTGTTGCTAGTGTGGCTGCTCACCAGGCCCGCCTGCCCGCGTCTATCAGGCACACAGTTCTGTTGCATGAGCGTCGTGCTTTTCTTGTGCGCATGCGTTTGCTGAGGGCGTCTCTCGACACGTTTGCTGCTGAAGCTTTGGTCGTGGAGGAAAAACGGAAACCACACGAGAAACGGGTCCGACCCCCTTCTGCTGCTTCTTGCTCCCTCTTCTCCTCTTCGCACGGCTTAGATGAGTCTGGGAAGCGTTGCGCTAGGTGTGGTGGGTCAGCCTCCGTAGCCACCAAGACCGAGTTTTTGAAGAGCGATTGTTTTCAACCTCTGAATTATGACGGGTCCCTCCTTTATAAACCCCCCAATGCAAAACTGCACATTGCGGAGGGTTGGGTAGACCAGAGTCATGATACGCAGTATTCCACAGTGTTGAAGCTTTGGTTTTGTAAGTCGTGCGGTTGTTACGCATCGTCCGTGCTGCGCGAATTAGGGAAGGGGTGCACAGGCAAGATCACCCCCACTCGGGCCGAGTACCTAAGTCGTATCTCCAAAGGCCTCGTTCCCAAGGTGTTGAGTGCAGCAGAGAAGCGCATTCGCGGACGTGTGTAATATGTTGGTGCCTCAGTGTTTCACGTGGTAGGCACTCGGTTGACTCTGTCACATGGTCATTCTCATTCTCATTCTCATTCTCCTCCTCCTCCGCCTCCTCCTCCCTCCTCCTCCTCGTCCTCCTCCTCCTCCTCCTCCTCCTCCTCCTCGTCCTCCTCCTCCTCCTCCTCCTCCTCCTCCTCCTCCTCCTCCTCCTCCACCTCCACCTTTTCCTCCTCCTCCTCCTCCTACCCCTCCTCCTCCTCCTCCTCCTGAACATGCATCCAATCAGCAGCATCTCATCATCATCATCATCATCAAGCAGCAGCAGCAGCATCAGCACAGCAGCATCATCATCATCACATCATATCAGCAGCATCATCATCATCATCAACATCTCATCATCATCATCATCATCATCATCATCAGCATCCATCATCATCACATCATCATCCATCATCATCATCAACATCATCATCATCATCATCATCATCATCAGCATCATCATCATCATCATCATCATCATCAGCATCAGCATCATCATCATCATCAGCAGCAGCAGCATCATTAGCAGCACCAGCATCATCAGCATCATCATCATCATCATCATCATCATCGCCATCGTCAGCGTCATCATCAGAATCATCATCATCAGCATCATCAGCAGCAATATCATCAGCATCATCAGCATCATCATCATCATCATCATCATCATCATCAGCATCAGCATCATCCTCATCCTCATCATCCTCCTCGTCGTCATCATCATCATCAGCATCATCAGCAGCAGCAGCACCCTCATCATCATCATCATCATCATCATCATCATCATCGTCGTCATCATCATTGTCAGCATCATCATCACCATCATCACCATCATCATAATCAGCATCGTCATCATCATCATCATCATCATCAGCATCAGCATCAGCATCATCATCGTCATCATCAGCAGCAGCACCCTCATCATCATCATCATCATCGTCGTCATCATCATCAGCATCATCATCATCATCATCACCATCATCACCATCATCATAATCAGCATCGTCATCATCCTCATCATCATCAGCATCAGCATCAGCAATATCCTCATCAGCATCAGCATCACCATCCTCATCTTCATCATCATCAGCAGAAGCAGCAGCATCGTCATCATCATCAGCATCATCAGCATCATCCGCATCATCATCACCACCACCAGCATCATGATCATCAGCAGCATCATCATCAGCATCATCAGCAGCATCATCATCACCATCGTCATCATCAGCAGCATAATAATAATAATCATCATCATCAGCATCATCATCATCAGCAGCATCATCATCATCATCATCATAATCAGCAGCAGCAGCATCATCATCATCATCATCATCATCATCATCATCCTCGTCATCATCATCAGCAACATCATCATCGTCATCATCATCATCATCATCATCATCATCATCATCATCATCATCATCATCATCATCATCATCATCATCATCATCATCATCATCATCGCCA